AGGCACCCCTGAAACTTCCTAGACCCCCAGATCCCTCCCACACCACCAGCCTCATGACCCCGGGATGAGGGCTCAGTGCCCTTCCCTTTCACCCGAGGGACCCTCCTGTCCCGAAGGGCAGTTCCTGGCAGCTAGCCGCCAGTTTTTCTTTATCTGGAAATGCCTTAATTTCTCCTTCATTTTTAAAGTGCAGCCTTGCCAGATAGAGAACTGTTGGTTGACAGGGTTATTCTGAAATTTCAGCACTTTGAATATAGTGCCCCACTGCCTTCTGACTTTAATGGTTTTGTTGAGAAACCAGCTATTAATCATACTGAAGATGAGCTGTGTGTGACAAGTCACATCTCTCCTGCTGCTTAAAAGAGCCCCTCTTTGTTTTGGCTTTCCCACAGTTTGATTCTGAAAAAGCTTGATTCTTACAATTTGTGTCAGTTTTTCATTGTTTAATGGAGGGGTGAATTTTTTGGATCCCCCTACTCTGCCATTTTCACCGATGTCACGGGTGATGTCTACATAAGAGACTATAACACACATCCTATGATTAAGTTAGACCTCAGAGGCTGGGGTGGCATTGAGGTGCATTAATACTGTTCCTTCAAGTGCCCCCAAGCACTTTCTCTTCTTGAAGTTAATCTCATAAAGTCAAACATGATCAAATCACATTTTGCATATTAGCATAAAAGAACATGAGCCATTTAAGTGCACTCATGTAAGGTTTTAAAATGAGAATTTTAAACTTAGTAATAGTCCTCAGGAGCGTTCTAAGCGTAGGAAAAGGTAACCTCCTAAACTTATCTTATGAGCACGTTGTCTCTGCCCTGGCCTTCAAAAACGAGAATCCCAGCATCTCTGAACTGGAACTTTATTTATCAGGCACGCGCTGTCTCTCTGTGAGGAGAACGCACCAGGACGCCAGCACTCCCACGGCAGGTGGCTCAGCACCTCCAGAAACACCCTGGGTCTACTCCTCGTCGGGGCTGCGTCCACCCCTCGTCAGCCAGTTCTATAAAAAGGCTGTGGGCATGAAAGGTAGAGAGGTGAAGGCAGAGTTCCCCTCTTTCCCACCCCATCCACACACCCACGAGGGGCTTAAGGGTGGTTCTGAATTTACCCAGACGTGGTGCCAGACCTCAGGCCTGAGGATGCAGGATGGAGGTGCTGGCAAATTTCACCTGCAGCAAATGCAGGGGGCTGAGCACAAAGCCATGGCGGGGCAGGGGGACTCTCACTGCCAAGGAGGCGCCCTGGTCTGGACGTCAATGTCCCCCCAAAACTAACATGCTGAGACCTGATCCCCAAGATGACGGTCTTGGAGGTGGGGCCTTGGGGAAGCCTGAGGTCAGGAGGGCAGTGGAATTCCTCCATCAGTGGAATTAGCATCCTTATACCCAGGAAGTCCCAGAGAGCCCCTTACCGCTCTGCCCTGGGGACCCTGCAAGAAGGCAGCTCTTTGTGAGCAGGAAGCGGACCCAGACACCGGATCGTCCCTGCCTGGACCTCGCAAGTCCAGCCTCCAGACCGGCGAGACATGAATGTCTGTTGCCGACAAGCCCCGTGTGCGGTGTTGTATCACAGCAGCTGAGCAGAATAGGGCAGAGAACTGATCAGAGGAACCGAGTGAAGTCCTGGGAGACATGGCTGACCGAGCCACGCAAGGAACGTGTTGGGGGCAGGAAGACGGGGCAGAGCGGCCATCGGGCAGCAACCCTTCTCTGCACGGACGCCTGCGTGCACTATTTCACCTGTTCATGTCCCATGTTTAGGGAGTCTCAGGGTACCTCTAGCACGGGAGTTTTTCATTTGTAAATGTTATTTTACTATGTCATAAAATAGCAACTATACTGAAAGGAAATATTTGTCCTGAATATCATGGATATCGCCCTTGTTTCTCTGTAATCACAACTTAATTTTGAAGAATACTCAGGCATTAGGGAGGAAAATACCTATCCTGGTGAAAATACCAGGCATCAATAATTATAAAAATCAAGTGGGCATCCATCTGAGGAAGGAAATGGTAGTTATCTAAAATCAGGTTTCCTTCAGACTTCTGCTCAGGAACACTCAGAATTCTGAGCAGGATCTGAAGATACATGATGAAAATAGAGTGCAATGAAATAATTTCACATTTAATACTTGTTTCAAATATAAAGGGAGCAAATGAATCTTCTTGAACTCCTGCACCTCAGGAATACCTTTGAGAACTTTTGGGGAGCAGAGAAATTACTTGGTGAGAATCTCAATAAAGGGCTTGTGAAAGGAGGTGAATGTTTTTCAAAAAACAGTAGCAAACAATGTACCAACTGAAATATATATAAGATTTTTAAAGGATAATTTTCTGTGAGAAAGAAAAACAGATACAGCCTAAAGCTACACTGTATTAGAGCTATAGACATACGGAGTCCAATCACCTTCACCCTGTCCTCATCGTTGTTTTTAAGCTATGCTGATCAGCTATTTAAAATTTAGCAATCCCTATTCCACTTCATTTTGGCCAATTAAATTCAAGTCGTTTTAAAGTTACTAATTTTCCTAGGATCTGAACAGATATTCTACCAAAGCAGCCCTACAGATGGCCAGCAGGCCCACGAGAAGATGCTCCACGCCACACATCATCAGAGAAATGTAAACCGAAACAATAGTGAGACGCCACCGCGCACCGGTCAGAGTGGCCGATAGCAACGAGACAAGGGATAGCAGGTGTCAGTGAGGATGTGGCAAACCGGGGCCCTGGAGCACTGCTGGCAGGAATGTGAAATGGTGCAGACGCTGTGGAAAGCAAGAGGGAGGCTTCTCACAAAATTAAAAATGGAAATACGATATGACCAGTCATTTCACTTCTGTTATTTACCCCAAGAAAACAAAACACGAATTTGAAAAGATATGTACGCCCTATGTGTATTGCAGCATTATTTACAATAGCCAAGATAATGAAACAGCATAGATGTGGTTCATATGTGCCGTGGGATATCACTCAGCCATAAAAAAGAATGAAATCTTGCCATTTGCAACATGGATGACAAAAAAAATACTATAATATTTCATTTTTATGTAGAATCTAAAAAACAAAACAAATGAACAAATAAAAAAAACAGAAAGAGACTCATAAACACAAAGAATAGGCTGGTAGTTACCCTAGGGGATGGGGTTGGAGGATGGGTGAAAAAGGTGGAGGAGATAAGGAGATACAAACTTCCAATTATAAAATAAATCACAGCGATGAAAACCACAGCACAGGGAACACAGTCAGTGGCATCGGATGGCAGCACACCTATCATGGTGGCGTGTATTACTGTCAGATCCCTGTGTTGTACACCTGAAACTATATAACATTGTATGTCAACTATACTTCAATAAAAAAAATAATAATATGCAGAGTGTGATCCAATTTTTCTAAAACTCCTTCTTCCCTCCAGACCTTGTTTCCATCCTGTTTATATTTATATCCGGTGGAAGATGTCTAGAATGGTATTTAGAATGGCTATTTTTTATTAATGAAATTCTTGATGAATCTTTTCCTCTTTATGACTTCTTGTAGTAATTTTCTGTCACTTCTACCAAAAAAGAGGAATTTATTCTTTTCAAAAATAGAGAAAAAGAAAGAAGCGTAAGAGTGAGTAGAGGAGGTGAGAGTCAGGACCCAGGCGTCAGTTCCCCCCACAACTCACCCATGTTGCCGTGACAGCTCCCATAAAAATGAAACTCACTTAATTTGATGACTCTGCATGTGTCCCCACACTTCAGAAAATGCCTTACAACACGGCGTGATTACACTCTGAAAACAGTTACTCATACATAAGAACACTTTGAGGAACATATTTAATTTCCATTTCAAGAAAACTGGTCCAAATCACAAAATGCAGCTACATTTCATGCAGAACACAGAGGTAGGATGATTTAAAATAACTACATTTGGTACTGAGTGGATTAATATAGGCTCTTAATTTTTGGTTTTTGGTCTTATAAATTTACTGGTACTCATGTTAAGTGTGTACATGATATTCATGCTGAGTTTATACAAGATGAGACAAACTGTAGAGAAACGAAGTTTACAGAACAGTTATAACAGCATCTGGTATACTGAGATCCATGCTCGGCATTATTTATACCGCAGTATCTAGATAATGATATTAGTAAAATAAAACTACAATGTACGTAAGTTGTCTTATCCATACTATTGTATCATCAGGAGATATTGAATTGGAAGGTTTAAGCACAGAGTACATTGCATTCATCTCTTGGAGATAATAATGTAGTTAAAAATCCAGTCACACAAATAAACAGGCACATGCTTAAACGTTGAGCTAAAAAATTCCTATGTGATGATTCTGAATATTTATTTACTCCTCTATATTTTGAGTGAACAAGATGAATGTGCAGGTGCTCTTTGCCACCAAGTTATTTTGTTTTATTCTTTTGAAGGAAAAATTATGATCATCTCTGAAATCCTTACATGTAAGTTATCAAACCCCTTCACAGTCTTTAAAACTTACACATTTCTGCAGCTAACAGCTAAACAGATATTTATGAATCCGCTTAATGTAAACAATGAAAATATAAATGATTTAAATCCCATATAAGCAAAAAAATTTTTCCAGAGCCACAGGCGTCTAGACTTGTTAAGGGCCGTCGACTCAACCTGAGTGTTCTCATCTCTGGCAGTGTGCTGGGAGTCCGTAAGAAAATCCAAACCAGTTAAATCGGGTAGAAGGTGTGAAAACGTGGCCCAAGGATCAACAGCATCGATATTGCCAAACAGCTTGTGAGAAGCGCAGATCTGGGGACTCCACCCAAATTGTGCCAAGTCAGAAATTCTGGAGGTGAGTCAAGCAATCTGTGTCCTAACAGGCCCATCAGGAGAGTCCCAGGCCCAGCAGAGTCTGTGAACTGGGCTCCAAGTTCAGGCCGGAGCATCAGAACCTTCTGGAGAATTCCCAGCTTGCTCCGACAGGTAGGCGACAGCACCAAAGGCAGCATTTCCACCAGCCACTTAACCGCGCAGAGCCCATCCTGCCGTGCGCAGCTCTCCTCCTCACTGAGGTGGACACAACGCAGGAAGTTCAAGGATCGGGCCAACAATTCTCAAGAAAACTTTGGATTTCTATCCCTCAAGATCAAAACTTCAACCTCTGTGAAATAAAAGGTAGAAGACGTGATTCTTAGAAAACCCCTCTATGGAAAATAATATTTGTGTATCCATTTCTGGCTTGTAAGTACCCCTAAATTATAATCTGATTTAATTTCAAGACAATTATTAAGTTAATTCTTATCCATGCTGACCCTATTTTGAGACTATCTCAAAATGCAGGAGCCGCTCATTAACTCAGTGCCCCCTTTGTGTGGCCAGTGGGCCGATACAGGTAAATAAAGCACAAATAGCTGAAGAAACGACTGAATCACCTTATGGTAGTGCCCTGAGCTGCCTGACTGGAATGTATTTCTTCAGCTACAGTCACATACCAGCCAACAGTCTCTTTAGGAAAAAAATGACATGCTTTCCATTTTTAACAAAATTTTCTCATAGAGTTAGGTGGCCCTGACAAAATGTGCCAAAAAAACAGCATGTTTACTGGATTTCTTTTTTCTAACAGGATGAGAGGATTTCCACCCACTTCAGCTTCCCTGTATGGCTGCTGTTTCTGGATGGAGACGGTTTGCCCCCCGTTACCTACAATAGCACATTAAGTGCAAGGTACCTATTGATAATTGTGCTTCTGATTCTTTTGCAGGGTTGTTCTGTGCCCCAAAGCCCTCACCTGAATCTCTTCTTCTCTCCTGACTGACCAGGAAGCCTGGCGCAGGCATCAGGAGGCGCCCGTGCACCTGTCCAACCTCCCTGGAGAAGTGGGCGCCGTTGGTGGCTGGGGGCCTGGCAAGACGTGTCCTTCGCAGCCTGGAGCACGTCCACGAGGGCCGTCGCAGCCGCCATCAGGTCCAGCCTCATGATCCTCCGTCCCCCTAGGTGTGACCTTGCAGAAGGCACGAGGCGTGCCGGCCACTGCTGAAAAACTAGCTGGGGCACGCACGGCACCACCAGGGCCGGCACCCCATAGAGGCCCTCAGGATGCAGCATGCCGTGGGCCCCTCTACCCTGCAGATCTCTGAGGGCCTGGGTCCCTTGTGAAAGCAATCTGCTCTAAAGCTGCATTTCTGACACCTCTCTGTCCAAAGGAGAGGTATTTATAGGATGACAAGGAAAAAGTCTTTGGTCTGACCAGAAAATGAAGATGTGGGAGATGTGGAGATCAAGGATCAAGCCATTCGCAAGCAGTCAACAGTGACAAAATCTGGAAGATCTCAAGTATAGTCATGGGATGGGCCTTAAGGAAGGGGCAGGGAACAGTAAAGGACAAGCATTTGGGTACTAGAAATGGTGAATGAAGAGTGGACAGAAAATCCGACACAAACAATGGATATGTTCCACAGATCCATTTTTTTGAACTACCTTCAGTGACATATTACATGGAAATGCAAAGGCCAACTGAAGCCGAACCCTCTGGCTGAACAGAAGGGGAGGGGCCTGGAGCTGCTCCCCAGGCTGGGCCCCGGCCTCCGTCACCGATCTGTGTCTCCGCAAGCTGGGGAACTCCAAGCAACAGGCTCTAGGCACCCAGCCAGATCATGCTCTGTGATTTTCCCATCAACTCAGTGGTGCTGTGGACGTGACAGCCCACGGCACCCGGAAGCCTTCCGGGTCCCTGCTGGCATCCACTCCAGAAGCTGAGATATCATGTATTTACTGCAAGCAGTTCTTTCTGACCTTGATGAAGCCTCACTTCACTTTCCCCACCTGCAGCACAGGCTGTGGTGCCCCGTGCCGTGTGCCCCCTGCCACACAGACACAAACGCAGCCTTCCCCACCTCCCTGGGCTTGGGCGCCCACCCTGCACTCACTCTACTGCCTGCCATGCTGTGAAGTGCAGTGGACGTGTCCACTTGGGCACAGTACATTCTTCACCAGTCCTACCAGACAACTGCCCTTTACCCGCTCTATGCCGCGTTTGTGTGACTGCCCAAAATAAGTTCACCGAACGGGGGAAGAAGAGCTTCATACATGCACACAGGCCTTCAGAACATAAATAGTTCCAGTTTTAATCATCAACAGCCAATCTTGAATTAAGGTGCTGCAGTGCATGGGGGTCACAGAAAACACATAGAACATGAAGTGCAGTCCAGCTCAAAGGGCACCTTGTGCATCACCACCACTAGGAGGCTGAAGAGATGGAAAGGCGGATGCTGGACCCCATCTGCCCCAGTGCCCTTGACTTCTCTAACTGCTGAAACGGTGGAGTTATATATATCTCAAGATATCCAGAAACAATGAGGCTTCCACCCCAAAAGTAGCATCAAAACCTTTGCTAGAGGATCAGCCCTTCCTCCCATGGTCTAAAGGGCAAACTCAGCCAATATGAAAAGAGAGAGACAAAGTCCCAATGTGTCCATGTGTCCCAAAGCTCAGAGCTTACTCAGCACCTTCCCTTCCCAGCAGCCACGCACCAGGATGGCCCCTCCTGCAGACGCTGCCCCCAGGACAGAACCCGTGTCCTCAGAAGCAGGTGACCAAGGGCCAGTGGGAGTCATGGGGAGCGTGTCCTGGGGCCAGCGGAGGGCAAAGGCCCAGGGCCTGCCACCACTTCCAAAGGTCTTGCCAAATCGAAAAGATGCGCCCACCTCAGAATCCCAGGACAGCAGTCACAGTTGGCAGTGGACCTGCCGTGCTAGGGAGAGAGGCGGCCATTCAGAATCTGTGGCGTTTCACAGGTAAACAAACAGAACATCCTGCCGAATGCGTCATGACACACAGCACACGCTCCGTACAGAGCTCACCCCCAGGGGTGCAGCCCACACGCAAGGGCTGCAGGCATTTTAAGTTGTTCTTCGGGCTCAACTCTTCCACTTCTAAAAGACAAAATACCAAAATACAGTGTAAATTAAAATCAGATATAATTACCATTTTGTAATCTTTTCTTTCCAAGACAACCAGTAACTCAGCATTTTAGGCCACCTACACTTACTAGTTTTCTTTTTTTTTAAATAAACATGTCATTAATATCTACTTGAAAAATAACCTAATATGCATCATTTTTTAATGGCCAAGAAGAATATGATTACCTTCAATAGAAAGTTACTTACAAATTTAAAACCTGAGGGATATTTGCAACCAGCGTAGATCAAAATTTACAAATTTTAGATGATTAAGTTTCCAAAGGAAATAGCCACCCTGATATATTTACCCACTTTACATGACTACATCGTTCATGGACATGTATTTAACAGACCCTTTTAAGCAAGAACATGGTGAAGCTGGAGAGCACATTATTTTACTCAGCAGGTAATGTTGCCTCAGCAACCATTTCGGGACTTACAGGATTCTAGGGCCTCTGTGGGAAGGAATTGGAGGCTCGAATAAATTAGCCTCTGCTGCTCAGAAGCAGGCCATCCTTGGGTTTCAGTTAACGTATTGGGATTATTGCTGCTCTGTGTCAATGTGTCTGAGACACTGAGCAAATGCAATCAGCTATAATGTCACAATTTAAAGTTGAGTCACAAGAAGCTTTTAGCCTGGCACGACTCAGGCACTTGAGCAGCCATCACCCCTCTCCACTCCACCTCATAATGCCTGAGCTGAAGGAGGACTTGCAGTGTGTAAATAGCAGAGAGAGGAACTCGGGTAAAAGCAAGTTATGATAGAGGCACAAGAGGTTGGGGGTCAGGGAGAGAAGGAAGTGATGGTTCTTCTCCCAATGTGTGCAGTAGAACAATCTCATTAAATGCAAAAACCTCATCTAAAATATTCAGAATATGGTCCCATTGCTGAGCACACCCCTAGTCACAGGAGCAGAAGGAACCGATTCAAGATCTCTCCCAGGGGACACAGACAAGGGAGACTTTCCAACCACATCACTGTATCCATCCGCACCCAGGGGGCAACTTGTCGCTTATCCGTACGAAAGAGCAAGCACTTCAGCTCCTCAAATATTCCAGAGCCTGTCTGCCTGCATGAAAGCAAAAAGCCCAGAAAAATAGCAGCTGCCTTGGGGTGCGGAGGCAGCCAAGCCTAAGGGAGAAGTCTCTTTGAAGTTAACTGAAATACATGGTGTTCAAACAGCCTGACTCCAAAAGCAAACAGTGTTTCTCCTTCATTCCGGCTGCTGGAAGAAAAAGCACGTGTCTGGGAGGCCCTCTTTGTTTGATGAAGAAGAGAAGGCACCTCTGAGTTGGCTGCGTTATTCATCTGTTAGGGAATCAGCCTCCCAGAAGACAGCTGCGTGGCCAAGCAAGGCACTCCTCAGACTTGCCGGGTGGCTGAAGCCCACTACAAGTCCTTGGGGAGCTCTTCTGCCAGGGAACTTCTTGCAGACCTTTGCGGGACATAGACGAGCATCAGTATCGGACCGGCTATAAAAGGAGACCATTGGACGGGAGCTCTGAATAAGAGGAACTGAATAAAATGACGACGGGCAGGAAGAATAGCCTCTCCAACCATCAGCCAAAGTGGTTCACATCCACGCTCAGCAAGTTTGGAGTTCCAGAGTTCTGCATGTTTTGGGGGCTATGTCTATAGCTTCCGTCAGGCCACAGCCACCGGGAGGGACCACAGGAACCCTGAGGAAGCACATCTCTACATGATTCTTAGCAAATAGCAGTATTAGCTGCTGTAGTTTGTAATACTTTCACACATGTGTGCAGGAATCAGAAAAGGAAAGCAAGGACATTAGCTGGTGCAGGACATTACTGTCACCGGTGCAGTCCCAGGCAGCCAGGAGGCACCTGCTCACACAGCCACGTAGTTCGTGCACAGCGAAGTGCTGGTGTTGGCAGTGGTAACCCCATGTCCCACAGAGCACATGAAGTGTTGTTCTCAGGATAAAATGTTTCTGCTGCTATATCCAAATAAAGTGCATAAACGTTTCCATGCAAGGGATGTGTGCTTGTCTTTAAAATACTCACATACACCTACACATACACACACCTTCTTCCCCTGCCACCAAACAGAAAAGCTCATGCCTTCCCAAACTGTCTAACAACTTTCTCCTGCTTGGTCCAGAAAGTCATTTGAACTGTTGCAAATGTAAACACTGCTTGCCAGAGGAATATGATTACTGAAAATAAATTGATGCACTGCAGAAGTTAGCATGCAAATCCTTAAATCGAGTTTGTTTTTTGAGCTAAAATTTGATAGTTCATATAGCATCTTGATGTGACCCTGGTCTACATTACATGAAATCCTTTTTCAAAAAAATTTTGCTTTTGTATCTCCCTAAAATGTATGGAAGTCTTGCAGTCTGAAATCTACTTTTCTAATATAGGATAATTTAATCTTCTCATCCCATTTTCTCATTGTAAACATGAATAAATATGAAATTGCCATGAAAACTACATTTGAAATTCAAGTCATGATGATTTTAACCTCGAATTAACATTCCCAGAGGGAGTAATATTTGGGATAAATGTGCATCTAACATGATTACAAATGTAAGGAGAAAAGCATTTGTGCAACATCTGCATGAATATCCATTTGCAAGGTGTGTCTTCTTCAAACATTATCCGAGCCAAATGCTCGATACACTTTCCCCGTGTGGCCTGACCATTACTTCATGTGACTTAACTGGGTTCTGGTGAGCCTTTGGCACCATAGAAATCACTTTCTACTCGTCATCCTCAGTGACATACAGCTAATACTTTGGCCAAGTATGTATATGACATTCTAACAGCCAGTTCATCCTCAAAACCTTGTTCTCAGCTTCCGCTACTGGGATAGTCACACTTGGAACTTTGCCCTGATTTTTTTAGTTAACAAAGCCTAAGTTCACAGAATAGATTTTAACCGGCAGTGCTAAGGGCGGCAGCCTGGAGGGACTGACACAGCACCTGTTGGCCTCCTGAGATAAACCTCATGGACCTCAGGACCACAGACAGATGCAGCACATCATCAGAAACCCTGAAATACGACCTGTGCAAATAAAATTATTTGAGAAAAGTACTATTCCCATCTGAAAGATGCGTCTCTGTATAAATGGCCACACAAAAACCAAATTCAAGTAAAATTTTCATTGTGTGCCCATTATCACACTTCAAAACATGTAGCTTTAATATTACCTCTTCTCTTAAAATCGAAGAATCAAAGCATGAATGTTTTTTCTAAATAAATTTGCTTCAAAATGTAGATCACAAATATTCCTGGCTGTATTTTGAGGATGTTCCTTATTCCTTATTCTCTGAAAAATTGAACATATCCATGGAATTCTATTACACCTTTCTTTAGAGTTATAAAACTACAAAGCATTTTCTTTTGTTTTCATAGAATTTATAAATAAAATTTAGGGATAATCTTCACCAGACAGAGATTTCCTAAATGGATCAAAGTTCTTTTTAACACAGATGAAACTGAACCAAGATAATATGAACTGTTGCTAGGATGGCAGGTGGCAGCCTTGCTCACTATCTCATTTCCCTTTCTCGTGTCTCTGGCCCCACGTTCAGAGGCTCTGCCGTCGAGCTCTCTGCTCCACCCTTTTCACACATGAGTACAGTTGGTTGATGACGGGGCATCTATTCGGCTTTTATTTCCTTTAACCTCACTAAGAGGTGATTCCCTGTGAAGGTCACACTTGAACACTTGCTTATAGGCCTTCCTGAAGTTCTCTGAGAGAAATGCGTAAATGATGGGGTTCACGGAGGAATTGCTGTATGCCAGGCAGTGCGCGGTGACTCTGAAGAGGAAGGTGGCGGGGGTCAGCGGGAAGACCCCAAACTCAGCCCAGAGGTGGATGACGTGGTGCGGCAGCCAGGAGACACCAAAGACCACGACCACCACCAGCACGGTCTGCGCCGTCTGCAGGGAGAAAGACGCCCATCAGCGACAATAGGACAACATGCAGCATCCCAGGCACGCCCGAAGCTAATATCAGCATATTCTCATGGGGTCAAAGAGACAGCACATCTGCTTCAAGCATCACCTTTACTTGGTATAATAGCTCTGTTCAAAACATCAGGACCTGCCATGACCTCCTATAGGACGGATTTGATCATCACGTGAAGCGCGTGGGGATTATGGCAGGTGAATTCTGCGCTGTGGAAATAGAAATGCATAGAGATGAACGCTCTGCCCTTCACGCCTGCAGTGTGCCTGAACATGCCCTGCTTGCCCCTTGCCTGCAGGCTCAGAATCAAATAGCCTCTCTTTTTCTCAGACTCGCTCAGGTTGCAACGTTTTAAAGAGTGTGTTTGAACTGCTAGAGGGAGACGTGAAGCTGAAACCACTGGCCATTACCGCACGTCTCAGACAAGGAAAGCAAAAAGTACACATGTCCCCTTATCCGACGTGGCAATGCAGCAGGAGGTTAAGCTGCTGGCCCATCTCCCTTCCCTTCTATACAGAAATAGTCCTGGTAAAATAATGATCAGGGGAGGAACCGGGAGGAGAGAAGAGCAGAGAAGATGAGAGTGAGACAACCCCCGAGGCTCACACATCTCATGTCCACGACGCAGAGATCCGTTTACATGCAAAGCCTTCTGTGTGCAAAGCGGGGCCACCACAGAGGGCAGCCATGCCTCCACACTGCTACAGGGCCATTCCCACACCCCCAAATGACCTTTCTGTTCCTTCCCATGAATCAGATTGACTCCTAGTATTAGAGAAAACAATGTCCAGAACGCCAGCTCTTCAGGACTGATGTTAGGTAACACACCACAGCATAAGAAGACCATCAAAGAGACAGGATGGAAGGCAGGAAGCTTCTCACCAGCTGGAAGCAGAGAGGGTTGGGGTGAGGTGGGGACTGTTCAGGAGGGCCAGGACCTGAGGGTGCAGCTAGCCAACAAAAGGCACCAGGGCCAGTGCAAAAGCCCAAAACTGACAGTAACCACGGACAGGTTGTACAACCTTTGAAAAACAACACAAAGGCCCTCAACCCTGACTTCCTGGTCTGCAGAGAGGATGACCCAAAGATATGGTTCCCTGATTGCCTTGTCCATCCAAGCATGTAAAGCAAGTCAGGCATCGCCGTGGCGACAGGCTGTCATAAGGCGGTGGGGTAACATGGAGCTGCTCTGCCCACCCAAAAGCAAACAAACCACCCACTCATGTACGAGGGAAGCACCTGCCATCAACCCCTTTCTCTGCTAGCCTGTGAGATCCCATTCCCAGGTGATATATCAAAACAATCAGGACACGATTACACCTACAAATAAAACAGAAAACATCATCTTTTCTTTGAAGACAATAAGAACATCTACTTTGCAAAATGAATACCCCTGGATATTCCGTTTCATAGCGTCTGTTAGGAAAATGTTACCGAATACCAAATTTAGGGCAGAAATAGACCACAACAGCTTACTGCCAAGCCCACAAGACCCACAGCAGTATGGGATGTTTCCTAGGTAGTATTTGCTACTATGAGTGTTTGTAGTTCATTCAAAATTTACCTTTCTATTTTTAGTGACTCCACCTGTCTCACAGCCATGAACAAGCCTCTTTTACTTGGGCTACCTGGAGCTTTGAAATGTGAATGGGTTAACAGACAGTAAAAATATCGGGAAAGAATACTTACCAGGGACTCACATGAACTACAACATTTACCTAAGGCTCTCCCCTAAGTTCTGTAGAGCACTTGTCAGCCCTGACTGTGCTGCCAGCTAAGCACCTCCCAGGATTTAGTACTTTCTCCCTGTTCATGGAGCGCACGGGCCCCCCGGTGCTGACCTTCTCTTGGTGGTTCTGCAAGTCGACGCCCTGCACACAGGCTCCGGCTTCCACTGAGTCCTGCACTGTGGGCTGACCTGGGTCAACGCGTCATGCGGGTGGCTGAAGACAGAAGCTGGCTTTTTCCTTCTGTCTCCCTTGCTCGGATGCTCCCAGGCCTCCAGGGCTGGGGAGTCAAGATGACGGGAGTTGACAGAGGAAAGAAGCCCATCCCTGGCTCAGCAGAGGCCTTGCTCACTCAAGCCTGCCTCCCACCAACACAGAGAACTGTGTACCTAGAATAAGCTGGCTCCAAGTTAAAGATCTGGTCGAAATAATATGTTGTACAAATCCCCAACCTGGGACTGAGGCAGACCAGCACCCAGGACAGCGCTTGGCCAAACTTCATCCAGACTTCAACCCCATGGCCCCTTGCAGTTGGCCATAGTTATTAGGGGCTGATCCAGGAATCTGCCTTTCTAAAGAGCTTAACTGGTGTTGAAGAACCACTGATGAATCACCTAAAAGCCACAACAGAAGCAAATTATCTTACCCACCCCAAAATGAAGGCTAAGTGTTCTCTCAATACTGACGGTGCTCACGGCTGCACCAGGCTCTTCCCGCAGACTTGGAGGAGATGTTGCCCTTTCCCACTCCGATGCCAGAATCCCCCTTGAGATGCCCCCAAGAGAGCCCTCTGCGGAGAATGTGGCGGATTCGTTTTTCATTTCCTCTACTATTATTTGCCTCGATCGGAGATGGAGTCACCCTCAGCATCTCTACACACCCAGTGTCCCTTTGTCCACAGAATCAAATGCTATCTTTGATAGAGAAAACGTCACTGGGTAAAGTCATGCACCAGATCTCTAATTTTATAATACTTGACATTGGGTCCTTGATCAGTCTGGTTTCTTTTCATTCCTCGTGCTGAAAGCATCTGAAAAATATTCACCTCTTTCTTCCTATGAAATGCTCTTTTTCAGGTCATCTGAGATGTCTGTTCTTTCTTCAAAGAATTTTACTCACAATGTGTCTAATGGAACTTGGCTGGAAAGAAAAAGTGACTAAAGGATGAGAATAATAAGAAACATTTGTAATTTGTGTAGATGACGGCCAAAAAGCTCTGACCTGCTCTGAGCCAGAGGGGGGTGCCAAGAAGCCGCCCTGAAAGGACCCAGGGGTTGACAGGGCATCACGAGGGCCTCTCACGTGGCTTCCTCTTAGCAGTAACCCTCCAGTGTAGATGCCTATCCCACTCTGTGAAGTCTTCCAGAGTTATTTCAGCATATTGGTTTAGTATTCCACTGGCCTTATGCCAGCATTTCTTCATGTCTAGCACAGCCTGAGTAAGGCATATATTCTCATGGGGTCAAAGAGACAGCACATCTGCTTCAAGCATCACCTTTACTTGGTATAATAGCTCTGTTCAAAACATCAGGACCTGCCATGACCTCCTATAGGACGGATTTGATCATCACGTGAAGCGCGTGGGGATTATGGCAGGTGAATTCTGCGCTGTGGAAATAGAAATGCATAGAGATGAACGCTCTGCCCTTCACGCCTGCAGTGTGCCTGAACATGCCCTGCTTGCCCCTTGCCTGCAGGCTCAGAATCAAATAGCCTCTCTTTTTCTCAGACTCGCTCAGGTTGCAACGTTTTAAAGAGTGTGTTTGAACTGCTAGAGGGAGACGTGAAGCTGAAACCACTGGCCATTACCGCACGTCTCAGACAAGGAAAGCAAAAAGTACACATGTCCCCTTATCCGACGTGGCAATGCAGCAGGAGGTTAAGCTGCTGGCCCATCTCCCTTCCCTTCTATACAGAAATAGTCCTGGTAAAATAATGATCAGGGGAGGAACCGGGAGGAGAGAAGAGCAGAGAAGATGAGAGTGAGACAACCCCCGAGGCTCACACATCTCATGTCCACGACACAGAGATCCGTTTACATGCAAAGCCTTCTGTGTGCAAAGCGGGGCCATCACAGAGGGCAGCCATGCCTCCACACTGCTACAGGGCCATTCCCACACCCCCAAATGACCTTTCTGTTCCTTCCCATGAATCAGATTGACTCCTAGTATTAGAGAAAACAATGTCCAGAACGCCAGCTCTTCAGGACTGATGTTAGGTAACACACCACAGCATAAGAAGACCATCAAAGAGACAGGATGGAAGGCAGGAAGCTTCTCACCAGCTGGAAGCAGAGAGGGTTGGGGTGAGGTGGGGACTGTTCAGGAGGGCCAGGACCTGAGGGTGCAGCTAGCCAACAAAAGGCACCAGGGCCAGTGCAAAAGCCCAAAACTGACAGTAACCACGGACAGGTTGTACAACCTTTGAAAAACAACACAAAGGCCCTCAACCCTGACTTCCTGGTCTGCAGAGAGGATGACCCCAAGATATGGTTCCCTGATTGCCTTGTCCATCCAAGCATGTAAAGCAAGTCAGGCATCGCCGTGGCGACAGGCTGTCATAAGGCGGTGGGGTAACATGGAGCTGCTCTGCCCACCCAAAAGCAAACAAACCACCCACTCATGTACGAGGGAAGCACCTGCCATCAACCCCTTTCTCTGCTAGCCTGTGAGATCCCATTCCCAGGTGATATATCAAAACAATCAGGACACGATTACACCTACAAATAAAACAGAAAACATCATCTTTTCTTCGAAGACAATAAGAACATCTACTTTGCAAAATGAATACCCCTGGATATTCCGTTTCATAGGGTCTGTTAGGAAAATGTTACCGAATACCAAATTTAGGGCAGAAATAGACCACAGCAGCTTACTGCCAAGCCCACAAGACCCACAGCAGTATGGGATGTTTCCTAGGTAGTATTTGCTACTATGAGTGTTTGTAGTTCATTCAAAATTTACCTTTCTATTTTTAGTGACTCCACCTGTCTCACAGCCATGAACAAGCCTCTTTTACTTGGGCTACCTGGAGCTTTGAAATGTGAATGGGTTAACAGACAGTAAAAATATCGGGAAAGAATACTTACCAGGGACTCACATGAACTACAACATTTACCTAAGGCTCTCCCCTAAGTTCCGTAGAGCACTTGTCAGCCCTGACTGTGCTGCCAGCTAAGCACCTCCCAGGATTTAGTACTTTCTCCCTGTTCATGGAGCGCACAGGCCCCCCGGTGCTGACCTTCTCTTGGTGGTTCTGCAAGTCGACGCCCTGCACACAGGCTCCGGCTTCCACTGAGTCCTGCACTGTGGGCTGACCTGGGTCAACGCGTCATGTGGGTGGCTGAAGACAGAAGCTGGCTTTTTCCTTCTGTCTCCCTTGCGCGGATGCTCCCAGGCCTCCAGGGCTGGGGAGTCAAGATGACGGGAGTTGACAGAGGAAAGAAGCCCATCCCTGGCTCAGCAGAGGCCTTGCTCACTCAAGCCTGCCTCCCACCAACACAGAGAACTGTGTACCTAGAATAAGCTGGCTCCAAGTTAAAGATCTGGTCGAAATAATATGTTGTACAAATCCCCAACCTGGGACTGAGGCAGACCAGCACCCAGGACAGCGCTTGGCCAAACTTCATCCAGACTTCAACCCCATGGCCCCTTGCAGTTGGCCATAGTTATTAGGGGCTGATCCAGGAATCTGCCTTTCTAAAGAGCTTAACTGGTGTTGAAGAACCACTGATGAATCACCTAAAAGCCACAACAGAAGCAAATTATCTTACCCACCCCAAAATGAAGGCTAAGTGTTCTCTCAATACTGACGGTGCTCACGGCTGCACCAGGCTCTTCCCGCAGACTTGGAGGAGATGTTGCCCTTTCCCGCTCCGATGCCGGAATCCCCCTTGAGATGCCCCCAAGAGAGCCCTCTGCGGAGAATGTGGCGGATTCGTTTTTCATTTCCTCTACTATTATTTGCCTCGATCGGAGATGGAGTCACCCTCAGCATCTCTACACACCCAGTGTCCCTTTGTCCACAGAATCAAATGCTATCTTTGATAGAGAAAACGTCACTGGGTAAAGTCATGCACCAGATCTCTAATTTTATAATACTTGACATTGGGTCCTTGATCAGTCTGGTTTCTTTTCATTCCTCGTGCTGAAAGCATCTGAAAAATATTCACCTCTTTCTTCCTATGAAATGCTCTTTTTCAGGTCATCTGAGATGTCTGTTCTTTCTTCAAAGAATTTTACTCACAATGTGTCTAATGGAACTTGGCTGGAAAGAAAAAGTGACTAAAGGATGAGAATAATAAGAAACATTTGTAATTTGTGTAGATGACGGCCAAAAAGCTCTGACCTGCTCTGAGCCAGAGGGGGGTGCCAAGAAGCCGCCCTGAAAGGACCCAGGGGTTGACAGGGCATCACGAGGGCCTCTCACGTGGCTTCCTCTTAGCAGTAACCCTCCAGTGTAGATGCCTATCCCACTCTGTGAAGTCTTCCAGAGTTATTTCAGCATATTGGTTTAGTATTCCACTGGCCTTATGCCAGCATTTCTTCATGTCTAGCACAGCCTGAGTAAGGCACTCAGCCGACCGCAGGGTCTGTGCTGGTACAACTGCTTCTGCGGCGGAGATCCGGGCCTGCCGTGTTTGCCTCCAGACACACAGGCTGACCGCCCGGCACTCTCTGCACGAAGGCCTGCCTCTCTACCCATGACCGCTGTGGGCCTGACCAGGGAGCGCCTGCGTGGAGCACACAGCTCACGGAAAGAGAAAGGTTCCTGGCCAATGGGAAGAGGAGCTGGAAACAAACGAAGTTGTGATGAGCAAACTGTCAAAATCCACATCACGTCTGTCCACCACCTACCAGACTGAATACCTGTACGGGCACCACTCCTCTGTGCCAAGACCCGGGAGTGCCCGCAGTGGGCCGATCCGGGCTCTGCCCTCAGGCGTGTGCAGCCACCCTCGCTCCATCCTAGCCCCACCCCGCCCCCTGCCTCCCCAGGGCCTCCTCCCGTCCCCCGCTCGTCTCTTTAGCTGTTTCTTAGGCACAGGTGCACACACACGCCCCACCCCCAGCATCACACTTGATTTGTTCTCTGCAAACAAGGAGGCAATTAAATATATCAAAAGAGCTGTGACATCTGTTCAGTGGCCATTATGGTCAGAAGCTGTGCAAATGGAGGAAATCTTCCCTCCCCAAAATGCTAAAACCGTGTCCTATGTTAGGAAAGACTGCATGCACACAGCATGTACAACGTAACTGCCCACATATGTAATATCCATGCATATACAGATCTACATACATGTCCATACACACAGACATCTCTAAAACCAAAATTGATTAAACACTTATCTTTAGATCTTTTTACTGTAAAACAGAAGTTTTTCTAGTCATTTGCTGTAAGACCTATTTTCATTCTTTTAATTACTTTGTTATTCTCTGGGACTTTCATAAATTGTATCCAATACTTTGCAGATACAGAGATCAAACTAGCTGTTGCACACAAGTACAGCCCAGCCAGTTGAGATGTTCTATTTCATTCTTTCTTATAAACATAGACTCTTTTGCAACAATAATAAGCAGGTAACATGTGCCAGTGGCACCACCTTATGACAGTTCAGCAAGCCCCCTCCCTCCCAAGGACATTAACCTCTTCCTGCCCTGACTCCAGACGCTGGGCTCGGGGAAGAATACTTGTCTCCCCCGCCTCGCGGCAGTGCTGGCTTTCAGACGGAGCCAGGTCCTCTTAGAATCCCGTGGGTCCGCTCCGTCCTATCCCAGGGTAGGCATAAATAACTGTCCTAGGGGAAATTATAGACAACCCTTAATGGAGTTAAATGAATCATTTTCTTGGAGATGAGAAATGTGCTGTTTAACCAACTGTCTACAATTCCTTTTCACCAACTTAGGGAACAGATGTGTTTTTAGCCACTTTATTATTTATAAACAAGAGAAGTTGAGAAGAGCTGAGGTTTATTTAAGTAGAATTTTTTAAAAATAAATATTAAATTATAATTTCTCCAAATAATGTGCCATTGATCATAATACCTATTTAGAAGAGAAAACAAGGTATTTTGAGATGTTGTGACTAATATCTGTGGGTAAAACATCTGGTTATAATCACCTCCTCCTTAATTCATATTATTTAATAATCTCATCTTACTTTCTAAGATCAGAAATTATATGGATATTATCTGAAAAAAAGAGTTAAATAATTAATCCTGATTTGTAAAACACTTTTTCCTCAAAATGCGGAAAGGAGGAAAGATAATGCTTTTCCTCTACTCAGGAGAAGCTTGTTTAAATCAGGATTTCCTTCTGGCCAGAGACATGATTGAAATGGGGGAGAATCTCCTCCCATCTTTGATTCTGTCCCCTGGGGCCAGTGTCAGCCTAGTCCCAGAGGAAGATGGAAGGGTAGCATCTGCTCCCGGGGCTTAAGAGAGAGATAATAACAATGTTCTCCTGGAAGACAAGGAAGCCGCGGCCTTCAGGAATCATCCCAGAAGGTAAATGTAGAATAAAACGACTGCTGCTCCATGCAAACTGTGGGTGTCACAGCCCCTCACTCTCTCCCTCTCAACCTAGAGCATGCCTCCTCAAAAGGCTCAGAATCCAAAGAGTGTGTGTTTCCTCACCTCCCCAGACCTCTGTCTAGGTCTTAATGCAACTCGTGGTTACCTGAGATGCCCCCCATGAGCTGGCTCCATTTCCACCTGCTTCTACGAAGTTCATTTCAAAACTTTGCACCACCGGACCTAAAGTTTACATGCACTGGGTGAATGGGAGGACAATTAGGAATAAAAATAAGCTTGACAAATATAATATGTATATATGTGAACTTTACCTTTTTCTTGGATGCTTCTGACTTCTTTGACATGTTCTTCAACTTTTTATGCAAATGATGAAGGACCTGCAAAACACAGACTAATAAGCCAGGTGGCCAGGACCCCGCATGCATGGTCTATATGCATTGACAATTCTGGACATTCTGAAATGGTCACAGCATTATTTCCAGACCATCCAAGCGGAAACACACATAAGCTGGTAAGGTGCCACTGACTGTGAACGGCCAGCTGAACCCAGTCTCCCCACACTGAGGGAAGTGCAGGTGTGGGGCGTGGTCACAGCACCTGTGTGCCCAGGGCTCTGGGGTTTCGTACAGAAAGCCACCCCGCTACCCTGTATGCAGCCTTGCCACCGCCCGACACCTTGGTTTCCCCCACGATTCTACTTTTTAACATTTTCCAGGTCCCCACTCTACGTCACACAGGGTGTGAGATCCTAGAACCTTGGGGAGACTAGTGCCCCCCTCCATGCAACAGCAGGGAGAGAGCAGCTGGTGAAGACCGGAAATCCGCCTGGCCCCCCGCGGCCACCGCGCTTCCCCTCGTGCCTTCTGCTGGGCATGCAGGCTGTCTGCCCACCAGCCTCCTCCCTCTGGCCCTGCCCACTGGGCTGTGCTCTCAGACCACCGGCATCTGGGGGATTCAGCCTCACCGAGGACTGGGAGACCTTGTAGCAAGGTTTTATAACGAAGGCCCCTATCAGGAAGTCTCTTCCCAGAGACCCAGGCTCCCTTCACTAGAGAAGCAGTGTTTGTCTTTTCTCACAGTGGATACTCAGGAGAAAGGACATGAAGCGCGTGGGTCATTTATAGGAATTTGCAGCCTAAGCTTGACTCATACAACAGAGCCAGCCCTGCACACGGGGGCTGGAGTGCCTTCTCACATCCCGTCTCAGTGAAGGTCTAAGGGCGGACTAGGCTCCAGGGGACGAGGCCTTTGGTTAAGCACAGCTTGCCCAGTGAGGCTGTCCAAGAACCGGAGGCTGCCTTCTGGACTCCTGCCTCTGTCCATCATGCAGAATGGAAGCAACGTAACCACGCTGGACTTGCTGCAATGGCCTGCTCCGTTCAGCTGGACACAGCTTTTCTGGAGTGACCAGTTATTCACCAAGAAGGCAGGGATGTCTCGACCAGCCCCACCAGCCGTCTGCAGGTCAGCAGCCATCACAGGAGTGTGAGCTCCTGGCTCCGAATTCCCAGCCCCCCCTGAACTACTCCCCACTCCCTGCAGTGGCTTGGCAGCCCCTTCAGGGCCAGGCCTGCACCTGTCACAGTGACACCTGGGACCCTCCCGGTACACTGTCAGTGGGTCAGTTCACTGCTCTGCCTCCAGAAGTTGAGGCACAAACACTGCATGTGAAGCAAAGAGAGGAGCTTCTGCAGAGGTAAATGAGGAAGCCCTTCAAGGCGGAAGGAAAGGGCTGGGAACAGGACCCTGCCAGGAGAAGACAGGCCTTGGCCGGGCTCCTTGGGGGCAGCCCTTCCCCGGCCACTGAGCACAAGGGACAGAAGAGCAAGGCAGAGACAGCAAACAAGAATCAGAAAGAGACACCTCACCTAGGGAGGAAGCCCACCCAGAAAAGGCGAACAGTGCCTGCCTCGTGATGCTGACCAGGAGTCTATGCCCTCTGCCAACAGACCCAGGGCCACATCTGAATGGCCCCAAGGGCCCAAGGAAGGTTGTTGAGTGGTCAACAGAGGAAATGCCCGCGTATATTCTTCTGAGTCAAGTTTCCCTTCTGTAGACAGTACTATGAGCACATATTGATGCGCTATGATGCATATAGTGATTACAGTTAATGAGGTCTTGCCGTCCAAGGAGAAAGAACGTAAGTATCATGACAGGTTGCATTTCTTTGCAAGATGACAATGGCCTGGAGGCACTTCTCCATCCTTCTGTACACTTAGGAGTGTGTGTTGTAAAACGTAACCCTGAGCCAAACTTCTGTGAGGATGTGGAGGAATTTGTGTGTGTAGGAGGCTCATGTCAAGAGTGCATCCTCATGGCAGAGAGGGTCCAGGACAACAAGGCCCTGTCAGGGAAGAGTGTGAGGGGCCAGCCCTGCACACGAACAGCCCCACAGAGGCACAGAGGGCTCTGGGGCCGTTCTCCCTGCTTCCCCAGGGAATGTCAGATACAAATAACTGTTCCCCTAAAAACTCATAAGATTTTGGAAAGCAGAAGGTGACTCTGGAATAAAATTTCCTTGTTGAGTTTAAAAAGAAAGAACAAAATGCCAATCCATAGGTGCTGTGCAGATTAAATTAGAGAGTGCACGCATCAGCCCCCCGGGGACGTACAGCCAGCTGTGTGGTACATTTTCAGAAGAATAAATGAATAAACCAGCCACTTTCCAAAGACCTAAGCTGGTCATTGCCCAAATTCCCTATCTCTATTCTATTTCTTTACATATAATTCTTTGATTCTGGCCATGCGCTCAGATAGTATCCAACACTACTACCAACCATTCAAAGAGATATAACTGCATCGATGATATGGGAGGAGGCTTGTCTTAAACATTTTTTGCTGGGAAAAATACTCTGTGAATTGAATATAAGAAATTATTGTATTTCACCTGGTTACTCACCACCCTGTAGCCACAGCCTTATCAGAAAGAATACGAGAAACAGAGAGAGATGAAGAATAAATGGTGAAAATTTCAGAATTTGGTTACAAACATGTTTTTCTAACATGACGGAACCTGGATAAAGCATGTCATGACAATGGACTTTCCCCCACGAGTCACCATCCCATGATTATTAAGCATATACTTTTAAACATAAATCAGTTGTGTTAAAAGGTTTAGGACTTTTTGACCAGTGTAGAATCTTCAAGCCCACGTGTTGCTAGTAAAGAGAACGTGAGATGGCTGCGCTCTGTCGGGCTCTGCAGGGGAAGAAGGTGGAGGCGCAGGGCGCCGCCGGCAGGGGTGTCTGCAGAGCTGGGGGCTTAGACGTGACCCGGAATCCTTTCATACTATTTACACAGCCTTCCTGAGAAGGACTGAAACCCATTCATCCTAAACTCTCTGCAGACTCCGGAAGGGACTGTGAAGAAATACTGCTCTACTATAAAGCTAAACTTCTGGTAAGAGCCAGGTCCCCGCAGAGCGGAAAGGCTGGCCGCGCACGGCCCCCTCCATGCCGGCCGAGCGCTGGGAGGGGCCGAGCTACCCTGAGGCCCTGGGGACGCGCAGGGCAGAGCGCTTGGCGCGGAGGACCGGCGTGAGCCGCACTCGGGGCCGTGGGCGCAAGGGCTGCGGTGGCCAGAAGGGGACGCGGCGGACTCGCCGGGCATCTCCCCGACCCCCAGCAACTTCCTCGCGGAGCCTCACACGCGCAGGCCCAAGCGGTGGAGACGAACCGCAACACGACCCGCCCAGGACGCCGCCGGGCGCGGGCGCGGGGCCGGGCTGCTGCGGGGACCCGGGAGACGGACGCCACCGGGCCCCGCCGCCCGCGCCCGCGCCCACCTTGGCGTAGCAGAAGCAGATGAGCAGGAGCGGCAGCAGGTAGCCGAAGACGAAGGTGCACACGACGTAGGCCTTCTTGTGGCGCTCGTTGGACCACTCCTCCCAGCAGAAGGTCTCGTTGCCAACCCCCCGGTGGACGAGGCGCTGGTGGTAGGCCACGGGCGAGGCCATGGCGATGGACAGCGCCCAGATGAAGCCCATGCCCAGCAGCGCGTTGCGGGACACCCGCAGCGAGGAGCGCCGGGAGTGCACGATGGCCACGTAGCGGTCCACCGACATCGCGGCCAGAGTGAAGATGCTGACCAGCATGGAGACCGTGAAGAAGTAGTGGATGAACTTGCAGATGAAGGCGCCCAGCACCCAGGTGGGCAGCGCGTACACCGTGGCCTGGAAGGGGATGCAGAAGAGCAGGTAGGCCAGGTCGGCGACGCTCAGGTTCAGGATGAACAGGTTGGTGGTGCTGCGCGTCTTGCCCGGCTTGCTGCGCGCCAGCACGGTGATCACCAGGCTGTTGCCCAGCACGCCGAGCGCGAAGATGAGGCCGAACACCACCAGCGTGACCAAGTTCTCGACGCCGATGCCGAGGGGCGGCCGGGGCTCCGGGGCGGGGGGCTCGGGCCCGCTCGCGTTCCCCTCGCTGAGGTTCCCGGCCGCCGGCTCCATGGCCCGCGGGGGAGCCCGGGTCGCGCTGGGAAGGGGACCTGCGGGGAAGGAGGCTGCGGGGTCGCCGGAGGTCCCCAGAGCGAGCAGCCAGAGCGCGGGCTGAAAGCCTGGGCGTCCGGGATAGGCGCGCGGGCGGGGGGCCGCGCCCCCTGGCACCGACCTGCGCGGGCTCGCCCCGAGGTGGACCTTCCCGGGCGAGGCGGCGGCCCCGAGAGCGCGGGGTCCCGCTGCGCAGCCCCCGAGCCGGGAGGAGAGACAGCCCGCCCGTGCGCCGTGCAGGCGGGGGCGCCCGCGTGCGGCTGCGGGCCCGGCCCCTGCCGGCCGGCTCGCTCGCTCGGGCTCCGACTGGCACCTGTTGCTCCGGCCGCTCCTTCCCGCCGCGCTCCCGGGCCTCCGCGGGCTTCCCAGCGGCAGCAGGGCGCGCGCTCTCCCGGCGGCGGGCGGACCGGTGCTCCGCGGCTTCTCTGTGGCAACTGAGACGTCGGGAGCGCTCCGCCCGGCTGCAATCCGCGCCCCCTGGGGGCCCCCGTCCCCCGGAAGTCCCGGCGCGCGCGCGGACTGGCCGAGCCCTAATGGGCCTGGTCGCCGCCCACCTCTTCGCGGGCAGCGAGCGCGGCGGAGCTGCCTGGGTCCCGCGAGGCGGCGGCCGCCGGACGCAGCCCGGCCCCGCGGGCGAGCCGAGCACAGCGCCGCGGAGCGCGCCCCAGAGCGCGGGGCGGGAGGCGGGCGCGCAGGCCTCCTGCCCCGGCAGCGCCGTTCGGGCTTCCCTCTGGGTGGCTGCCCGTGGGAGTGCCCCCCGCCCCGGGAATAAACCCCGGGAGCTCCTGATTGGCGCCGCTGCCTGGGGCTCTGTAAAAGCCCCCATCCCGCCCCCGCCGTGCCCGCCGCCAGGGAAGAAGTGAGCAGGGAAGGAAAACGAACGGCCTGCCCGGGGTTTGTTTGCTCAACATGAAAGGGAAGGTGTCATGTGGACATCGCCCGGGCGCAGATCAGTTTCGCCTTATCCTACTCATCCGAGTGACATCAGCCCGCGCACTGACACGAAATACTTGAAAATAAAAAGAGCACGGTTAATATGGTATCCCTGTTACAAGAATACCCCCACAGGAAACTGAACGTAGTATAGTGGTGTCACTCAACATTTAGTCTAAAATTTGCCAGTTCCCACTACAGAGCTGAAGCTGAAGTTGTCATTCATTTACATCGTTTACATGATTTATCTCTATTCATTTTCAAAAAGGGGTACATTCCCAGCATTCTCCAAATAATGAGTGAGTCCATTATGCCAGATACAGAGCTCCTGGGAAGGGTAATGCAAACGGTGCGCTGTCCCTGCGGTGCGGTGTCCCGGCGGTGCGGTGTCCCTGAGCATGGAGACAGCGCTGCCTGGAGACAGCGCAAGTGGGCAGAAGCAGGCACAAGGGGGATCAAGGCGGGCCCGCCTGGGGGCGTGGGGGGATTGCAGCATCTCATTTCTTTTTCATTCCATCCCCTCTTTCCCTTCTGTCTCGTTTCCAGAAAGATTTTGATGCAATTCAAGGAACGCTGACTATGCAGCAAGTACTTTCCCTACACTGTTTCTTTTAACACTCACAATTCCTTGCAAGGAAATTGTTGTAGCCACACACATTTCCCAGAGGATGAAACTGAGTTTATTTGCCTGAGTATCTCACCAAATCAAGAATGCTCTTATGCTCCCTGCAAAGATACCACCAAACTTTCTTAAATATTTTGCCTCTCACGAGTGCCTTTCTTTCCAGAGGGTTCTGTGACCAGCCAGTTCATGGTATCCTGTGCTGGGCAGCTCTATTGTATTTGAAAGTTATTTGTAATAAGATTTTAGAGACAGTTTGTTTCTGTTTTTTGTTTTTTTTTTAATTTTTTATTAAGGTATGATTGATAGATCCACTATGTCCCTTCTCTGTAATACACTGTTCTCCCCGTGATCCCCCACACCATGTGGACTAAACATACTACCCCTCAGTCCCCTTCTCCCTCCCTCCCCACCCACCCTCCCACACCCCTCCCCTTGGGTAACCTCTAGTTCTTTCTTGGAGTCTCTGAGTCTGCTGCCATTTTGTTCCTTCAGTTTTGCCTCATTGTTACACTCCACAAATGAGGGAAATCATTTGGCATTTGTCTTTCTCCACCTGCCTTATTTCACTGAGCATAATGTCCTCCAGCTCCATCCATGTTGTGGCAAATGGTAGGATTTGTTTCTTTCTTATGGCTGAGTAGTATTCCATTGTGTATATGTACCACATCTTCTTTATCCATTCATCTACAGATGGACACTTAGGTTGCTTCCATTTCTTGGCTATTGTAAAAAGTGCTACGTAAACATAGGGCTACATATGTCTTTTTGAATCTGTGAAGTTGTATTCTTTGAGACAGTTTGTTTTTATTATAAACTATTTTTAACATGGAACAGATATGATGAGATGATGAAATTCTATTAAATGCCCATGTACCCACCACCCCACTTAGAATAATACAAAAATAATCAATAGAGTTGAAACCATCTTTATATGCTCTTCAGAGCCTCACACCCACCTGGCTCCAGGCAACCTGAATGTGTTGTCTACCAGTCATTTCTTTAGACATAGCATTTGGGCATATGCACATATTCTTAAATAATATATTGTGGGTTTTTTGCTTTATTTTAATGTTACATTGTTGGTATTGGAATTACTTTTCCCTTACGGTGTGATTTGTCTGGTGTTCCTATAGATAAACCAGGGTCCATTGCCTTATATTGGCCTGCTCTATCTTTTGCAATCTTTTTATGTCCTGTGATTTAGGGGTATTTCTTAGACAAGCACATAACTGGATCATTTCAAAATCTAATTTGACAGTCTCTAGTTTCTTAATTGGTGAGCTTAGTCTGTTTACATTTATTGTTATTACTGATCTATGTGGACTTATTTTTAACATTTTATTTTAAACTTTCAATTCATCTTCTATTTCCATGTTTCCTTTAGCTTCACCTGTTTTGACATCTTTGGAGCTGCATTTTAACATGGTTTTCTTCCTAACCTAAAATGAGAGGAAGGAGTATGGTCTGTGTTTATTCTTTCACTGGTTCCCTTGAGTGACTGCGACTTGCCAAGAACTATTTTATGTTCTGGAAATGGAAAAATGAACTAAATAAAGTCCCTTCTTTCATGCATGGTATGTTTTGTTATGGAGACAAGACATTAGAAAGGACATAAAACTGTAATATATCCTGCCCTGTGGTAACTGTTATGAAGGAGAAGAAAACAGACCAAGAGATAGAGGGTCACCGGGCGTGCAGTCCCTGGAGTGTAGGGCTGTTCTGTGTACTTGGCACCTGGGACTGATGGGCAGAGAGGCTGGAAGAGAAGGCAGCTAATCCCAGGTACCAGTCGATGCCCACCACTGACCACACTACCCTGGACCGGGCACCTACGTGCTGAGCCTTGACTTCCTCTCCTGACCAGCAGGAGGGCCGAAGCTAGGGTTGAGTTTCCCTGCGGCGGTCTGTCCTCCTGTTCCCTGACCAGCCTGAATGTTGAATGCGTATTTACAGTGATGTAAATCCTAGATGCAAGGGCTCTGTGACAGAGTTACATATTTCAAACTTGTTTTCCATGAGGACAAACAAATGTTTTTATAGAAAGTAACATGGAATATGGAAGGAATGGCAAACTGAAACAAATAGCAAAACTACTTTTGGATTTTTAGAACATCACGGAACAGCCGAGCTGGGAGAGGTCAGCTGCTTCTCCCCTCGCCCCCCCCTACATGTGCCTGCGGGTGGGGGCAAGTGGTCCGGGAGAGGCAGCTACCTGTTTACGTCTAAATGCACAAGGGACACCCCTCATACTGGGTCCATGTCAAAGCAAAAAGCTCTGCCGTTGCCCCACATTGTATTTCCTGTTCTGTAGTTTGAAGTAAGAACCGCTGCCCATCAAGGTGGCTTCTGAGTGGGCTTCAAAGGTCAGGGTGCTTTTGCATCCCATAGTCAGCAAGTGGGAGAAACACTTCCAGACGGAAAGTCTCAAAAAACCTTTTAGAAGAATTTAAGCCCTAAAATAAGTCAACTTATCTTTGTAACAATAAAAAATAAAATAATTATTTGCTTTTAAAAACACTGAAACTTGTGGGTAATAATATAAAGCCTGACTTGTCCCCAAAGTAAAGCCATGAATGTTGGGGCCTCTCCCTATTTGGCAACTATGAAGGAACACCCCAGGGTGACTACGGTCGGGGCTGATGGTGACAGATTTTTCCCTTTCACTTTGCCCTAAACTGGGGAAGAACAGCCAGTATCCCAGTCTGGCCTGTGCATCCTTTAGGCACCTCTGGTGACAAAGGTCAAAATGTCAAGGTTCCTGAGACCCGAGGGCCTATTCCTCTGGGTCAGTAACTGCAGGCACCTCCCACTTTCCTGCAGAAAAGGCTCTGGTCTGGAGCACCTCTCTGCTCTCAGACCTCCCGCCCAGGTTAGGGACTGAAAAGCAGTTCCTTCTCTACCCCCAGCAAAAGGTTACACGCCCCTGCCCCAAACCCAGCACTCCCACAGGTGGGTTACACTTGAAACCCACCCTGGCTTACCACCTGCTCTTTTCAGCCTCAGACTGACTAGGACTTACTGCAGCAAGGCTCAGGAAGAGGGGACAGGCTCCAGGGCCCCCCAAGGTCATGGGCTACCTGCTACCTTCCTTGCTCACGCATGCTTAGGCTGAGCCCAGTTGCCCCCCAGTCATGGGTGATTTTCCAGTTGTCCTCACCAGGTAGGCTGGTATCTTTATGTGCAGTATTTTCTCAACACCATTAACCTTGACTGTAGCCAGCTTTTTGCCACATTAATCCCACACAACACAAAACATTAAAACTCAGTCTTCCTGCAGGAAGCATGCATCCCTCACCAGCTGGCCTGCTGCTCTGGGCTGGCCCTCCAGGCCCTCAGCGTAGGACCCTGCTGAGAACAACCAGGGCCTGGCCTTGCCGGGCAGAGGAGAGAAGAAGCCAGCCCTGGAAGCACAGTGAATCTGTGCGGTGTGACGTGGGTCTCGCCCGCTCGCAGCACCTGG